CTCATCGGTGCTTAGAATAAGATGAGCACCGGTGCTCATTAGATCATTTCTGTATATATATATATATTGTGGCTGCTTCCAATATATATATATTGTCAAAAGTGGCTGGCTGCTTCCAATATGTATTGTCAAAAGTGGCGGGCTGCTTCCAATATGTATATTGTCAAAATCTGATTTTAATCTATACCAAATACCCTCTACATATATTCACGCAGAACCCGGCTTTTGTGAAATTGAATATTATATATACACGTAGAAGTCGGCAGCTGAAGAAGAAAGAAAAGGGGGGCAGCTTCTGGGAAATTGATTATGGCTACTTTGGCTTTCAAATATATATACACGTACACACGGGCAGAAAGTGGGAAATATAATTTTACGTTTCTTCAATTTTTTGTGATATCTTTCTATTTTTACGTGTTTAAATTATGAGTGGCTAAATACTTAATAACAATCTTAACTACTTATAGTTTAATGATTCTTAAATTTTTATTGTGAATATGTACTAAAATACATTTTAAAAAAATAGTATTGAAAAAAATCCTATACAAGTCCGAAAAGTACTTATGCAGAAAAAAGGTCCACAAACTAACAAGGATAGTCTACATGTACATAATTTTAAACATAATATTTTACATCCCACTCACATTACTGAGGTGCGGGCCACGAGCCGACATTTTTGACTACCCCCTCGGCACAAGTGGAATATCTCTTGGCTATAAATTAACAAGTAGACTTACTACACATTAAGCCTTCTGAATTGATAAATTCCAATGAAAACACTTTCATATATTTTCATGTTCATATTAATACATGAACTGATGCTTATGCATACAAATCATAAGGCATATTTTCCAGTGGAGGCTGCAAGGTTGCAAACTACTTTCCAATGGAAATTGAAAGAAGTTTTGTCAGGTGATCCACCGTCCAATTTGGCCGTAATCGGTGAGCGGAGAAGGTTGTTGTCCTCGCGACCACCTCCAGTACGCCTGCTTCGACAGATACCATTCCCGCGGCGGCCGCCTCTACCAGCCCTGCGTCCGCCGATCCCTCGTTCAGGAAGTCGTCCTTAAATTCTGAAAACAGCACCTTTGCCGCCGCCACAGCACACTCACATTACTCTTATCACTGTTTCAAGAGGATGCAACGCCCAGAATAATATTGAAAACACTTAAAAAATAAAATAAGCAAGGATGTTCTCAAATGATGCATTTGACCCATAATAACCATCCTTACGTTACGTGACATTTTATATTTGAGGCATTAACTTGAAAGCGTAATTTAGCTGAAGAGTTAATCTAATGATTAAATTTTTTGTCGGAATTGGATAATTTTGGTTGAGAATCAAAACAAGTTATTCTTAAAGGTTTCAATTTTCTTCTCTTTTATTTATTTATTTATGAGTATATATGTTTCCGACTTAGTTTTCGATTTTTTTTCTAATTTAATTAGACGTTATGTTATGATAAAACGGCATATTATCAAACTTCAAATGTTATTCGTTGGGTTAAAGTAGTGGTCACTTAAATTTTTTTAGTGTAATTCTACTTTGGTCTTCAAACTTCATTTTATTTCATGTCGATAGCTTATTCATATTCTTTATTTTTTCATGGATTGAAAATAGGAATTTAACTCTATAAGACATAATCCGTTGTTAGAACGATTTTTAGTTTACCGATCAATCACGAGTTCAAATTCCATATGCGAAGATTTAATTCATTTTGAACTAATGAGTTCATAATAAAAAACTCGCTTTCACAATTAATACTAACCTTTCAATCACATAAAGAACAAATTAAAGTTTCTTTCTAAATTTCATCACTTAACAGTGATTTATATGACTTGGAAGTAGTGATATTTAATTGGCATGACATAGAAATAATTATTATAGGATAGCTTAACTTTTAAGCATCATTAAGTTTTCAAAGCAAGATAATGAAGCTTACTGGATTCTAGGAAAGTTGCTTTCAAATGGATTGTACAACAAACTTAGAAGTTAGACTCGTTGGAGATGTTTGGTTCATTGAATTGAACATAATTAAAAAAGCAAGACATGTAATAAAAAAAAAAAAAATCAATTATTCAATGTAATATTATTCATATTCCAACATACCATAACATGTTTAGCACATAATTAAAAATGAGAAATTAGTGAGATGTTTAATCATACTATTATAGCTAATACCATCTAGTCGAGTATACTGAACATGTACATCAGTACATAAACTTCGACATGGATATAGAGTCTTATTGAGGCTCTAAAAGTAATTAGGGTGAAGGGACGAGGTTGTTAAGATTAGACATTTGCTAAGAAATGGATGGCATGAGAAGCAAAATAGAATAATGAAAGAGCATAATTTCAAGAATAATAAATTTCACTAATCTCAAAATTACTATGGATTCGTTTACACAAAGAGAATTGGTATTGCTTTGGTTAGAAGAATTTGACCCATTTCTTGAGCTTGGGTAATCGGGTCGAATGCATGGGTTGCTAAGCCCAAGATCACAAGGGTCATTCAATGGACAAAAAGGGTTCCAAACGAGGCCCAAATTTGGGGAAGATAAATTCTCAATTGGAACTATCTCTATATGCACATTTTATACGTGAACTCAAAAATATTCCTCATTTATTTTAGAGAAAATTGAACCATTTGGTCCCTACCTATTGTTCCATTAAGAAGTTGATCCTCAACTTTTGAAATAGAAAAGTTAATTGTCAGCATTTCATTAGAAATGCATGCTTAGTTTCCAATATCGAAAATGTCTAAATCTTCACACGTGATCTCCAAGAAACATGACCTACTTCAAATATGACTAGGCACCGATCCAGGTTAAAAGGCAAAATTTAATCCCATAAGGTTAGACATGTCAAGACCACACATGATTTAACATGAATTTGGGTATTTTGTGCAACTAAAATGAAAGTTTGAAATCAACATGCTTGTTTCTAAAGGATGATGGCCAACTTGCTAGGTTGGAGGAACAATATAGAAATTTTCCCTTATTTTTATCACACCAAATTATTAATTTTCTAAGTTTTTTGTAACGCTCTTTTTTCCATGGTTGAAATAAGTAGATTTTATTTCAGAAGCTTGCTAAAAGACATATTTATTTTAATGAATCACAAAATATTAAAAGACCGAGTCAACCATCTACTCAATCACATCGAGTTAGCATGAACAAGCGAACTGCCCAAATATAATTTTCGAACAACAAACACTGTGACATTTACACTCAAAAGCATACGGCTTCAGATGATAATAAGCGATCCTCGATAAAATACAACAAATAACACAATTCTCTTTTTTTAATTGACTGATGGAGATACAATAATAAAAGTAAAATATCATTATGCATAACCTTGTCCAACGCGAATCTTCTACACGTAACTATTGAGAACTCTTACTAAAGATTGATCATATTGGAAAGTCACTTCGAGCATGTTTGGAAGTACTTTTTTAAGATTATAAGTTGATTAAACATCATTTTTATTCACACATTCCATAAGATCCACATCTTTTACCGACTTTTATCCACATTCCATAGGATCAACCACTTATAATCTGAAAAAATATTACTTCACCAAACATTAACTTCTAATCTGACTGCGTATAATAATCAGTCAATGATTTTAAGGAACTGTCATGATACTTTGCAGTTTTAGTCAAGGAGTCAACTCTAGTAGTTGAACTGCTTCTTTTCTCACACTTTTACAGGTAAACTGCATCAGGGTTTTCGCCCCCATTTAATGCATACAATTGTACCATTTAGGCAATGGTTCAGCTGTTAGCCTAACATTAATCAACCTAATTTAACTTGCAATTAAATAGAATGCATTCACATAAAAAAAATTACAGCCAAATGAATTAACAAGTAATTAAAAACACTAATCACATTTACCATTTTCGCCGTTTAGCTCGTTTGAAAATCTCTAGTATTTTTGTTTGTTTCACTATACCTGGCAACGAATTGAATAGATTAGCGAAATAGGACAAGAAATGTTCCAACGACAAACTAATTAGCAAATTCCAATCATGTAGTTATTTTAAAAAAAAATCAATAACAAGCCATATAAATAAGACTATATTGATGGAAAAAAATCCCATGTGAAAATGCAATAAAATCTCCCAACCAGCAGACAAAAAAGGCCATTTCCTAATAAAACAGTAGCTTACTATAGTTTTAAGGGGTCAATTTTTTTTGTTTTTTTTAAAGTAATGGTTAAGGAATCTCCATTAATCCAAAATATTCACAATAACATGTCACATGTTCATATCTGGCATGAAGAAGGAAGGAATAGAAGCTCTGAGAAGGATGGAATAGAAACTTATTTCAAGATCCAATGATCTTTAAATGGTATTTTATTGCAAAGGCATACTGCAAATTTCAAGATGCAATATAAATACATATATATTAAGGGTATATAAATTAATGCCATGAGAAGATTATTTTGTCTTTTAGTCTAGACTGCAAAAGATATAAGGGGGAGCATCCAATCTTAGAGCATGGGAGTTGTGAAAAACATAATCCCAATACACAATTGATTTTGTAATCTCTTAGAGATCACAAATTTGGACATAAACAAAGCCAAAATGGGGAAGTGAGTGTCGTTAGAAGTCCATCTGTCCATGGCCTCGACTTGGGACTTGGGTTCCTTGGTTGCTATTTTTAAGAGAGGAAGCTTTGCTTCAGCCACAAGCAGTTCTTGTGAATTTCGCAGAACGGCCATAAGCAGAAACTAGTGTTTCTTCTAGAGGTTCTCTGGAAAAGTCACCCTGAAAGGACGGCCGAACCTTCGCAGGCAGACTCCTGAGGAAACAAATCAAAGAAATTGAGTCTATTCTTGAGTATTACCATCAGTTCCTTCCACAGAACTTTCATGCTAAAAGTCGTTGGTCGATTTTCGAGAGACCTGTGCTACTAGTAGTCTAGTAGCATACCTAATCTAATATTCAAACTTCGGAGCAACGTGCATAAGATACGAAGGCGTCTTTAAAGAGACTTAATAGGTCTTCTTATCAATTGATTGCTCTTGAAAGTCTTTTTCTGTTTTAAGAGAGCACATTTCAAAGAGAGCAGCAAGAAGGGAATATGGATGACAAGAACGATGAAGAGAAGTTTGACTTTATAATGCCTGGTTTCCGGTTTCATCCCACAGACGAGGAGCTCGTTGGGTTCTACCTGAAGAGAAAGCTTGAGCTACGGCCTCTTCCTATTGACGACTAATTCGTTCATCTGTATATGTTTATGCTAGGTACCCTGGAAGGTTCATTCTATATAAGGGAATACGTACCGGAGGGAACCTATAAAAGAGAATGAAAATAGCTGAAGGGTAAAGACTCTCTCAGAATTGTACGGAAGCAATAAGTTCCCGTAAAACTTGACACTTATAATTAGTACTTATATTGTTTTTCAACCAGAACTGGCATCTACTGGGGAGAAAGAATCGTACTTCTACTGTCCGAGGGATCGTAAATACAGGAACAGTACACGGCCAAACCGTGTTACAGGATCTGGATTCTGGAAAGCTACTGGAACTGATAGGCCAATATGCTCCTCAGATGGCACTAAATGCATTGGTTTGAAGAAATCACTCGTGTTCTACAGGGGCAGAGCAGCCAAAGGAATAAAAACTGACTGGATGATGCATGAATTTCGACTTCCTTCTACGTTGGACACGGCAACACCCAAGAAGTTCCTGAACAAGAATCTACCAGCAAGTGTAAGAAACAGCATTTTCGCATGTCCAATTTCCAGTTTCCTTTTCCACTTGTTACTCTAGATTTAATGGCTGTATTCTCTATGTACGACAGGATTCTTGGGCCATTTGCAGGATTTTCAAAAAGAGTAATTCAATGGCACAAAGAGCTATTTCTCAATCTTGGGTAGCTTCATTATCTGAGGCACCTGATGTATTCACTGACGGTGCTCATCATTCTCAATTTATTGCTGCAAACATCTCACCAATTTCTGAAACCCGATCAACCATCCCGTTATGCAGCAGTAATGAGTTGCGACAGCCTTCTCCAGCTAATTTTTCTGCTCGCAGCATTCTCTCACATAAACAAATGGAGGCATTAACTAGTAACGAATCTATATTCACAACTTCAAATGGGGACTTGCCCGGTTACTTCATGTTCTCTCCTCCTGAAGAAGCAGCAGGATCCACCAACAAGTGTACACTTGAAGTTCCTTCCATGCTTTTCAATCTATCTCCTGCCTTAATAAGCGATATGAGTAAAACCACAGAATGCATTGAACTTGAAAGATCACAACAAGAGATGCAAGGAAGCATAAGTGTGGAAGACAATGAAGGAGACTTGAGAAATAACCAATGTGCATTACATATTCAAAATCAATGGCAAGGTATGCGGCGGATTGGTTTCCCGTTCAGTTTGCCATCAACTGTATCAGATTCATCGAAGCTTAATTTGCCATGGGATTCTCCCCCCTGTCCCAGTGAAATAGCCTCTTCTTGTTCTACACACAAATTTTACATATAGTTTAATGGTTAAGAAGGGATAATAAAACTCTTCCCAGCTCTACAATGAACGAGCTCAGCTTGTATAAATCTCTTTCCTTTTCACTGTCATTTTACAATTATTCTGCAATGTTTTAGCCAAATATGGTACGAAATTGTCTTATTCTCAATCTAGTCATTCTTATAGAGTATTTAGGATTAATTTTAACTGTACTAGTCCATATGACAGTCGGTGTTAAAAGCAATACGATAAGGAAAATCAACTACTTGTGCAACTTGTTTGGATAATGGAAATAAATGAAAAAAAAAAAGATGCAAAAGAAACAAAAAATGAAATTAAGTTCTCCCTTAACACAACCCTCCTTTCCTTTCCGTCAACTTATACAGTTGATGTCAAAATTTGCTCTGCAAACTCAGGTGAACCTGAACTCACTGGATTGTCTACCAAAATGCACAGGTGAGGAAGCTCAGACAAGGGAAGTAGAAGAGGTAATAACAAGTTCGATTTTAATGCTCAAATCAGTTACTCTAGATTTCTGACGACGCCATACCTTATCTTACATGCTAGGTGAGCTTGTGCAAAGTTGATATTCAGTCATATGCATCCAGCTTACCAAAATCTCGTTGGCTTGTTTTTCATATATGGTCAGATCGAGTTAAGCTCTTTTGTGTGACTCTAGGTACCTTTTCAGGTGTTAGACGCAAGCTCTATTTCTTTCCTTTTGTAATACAGAAAATGGTGAATCCATGGTTCTTGAACAAATGGAACTTGTCAAGGAATTTTTGCACAAGATGGATGAAATATCAAAAGTATAGGATGCAGAGTTGAATTCATCACCAAGCAATTACAATGAAGCAGAATTGGTTGTAGTATAGAATGCAAGCAAATAATTCCTCAAATTCTGGTTGGTAACTTTGAAGATAGGCAGGTGTCCTATAAGTTCATTCTCTTGGAGCCTATGAGTCCAAGGAGGATGGTGTGCTCACTTAAATGTCTCTATTCATAGAAAACATCAGCCAATAAATCTCAAAGCGATTTTAAAAAATAAAAGGTCCAAAATCCTGTAATCATTGTTATGCCGTTTTGAGAAATGAAGGTCCATGGTAGAACAAACATTTAAGATTGTTGCTGCTTGAATTTTCGTTGTCGAGACACAGTTGCATCAACTTAGAATTTTCATTTGGTTGCGACTATAGATCAAAATCATCCTTGTGGAAAAGGCGATGGAAAGAACTATAGATTTGTGGCGAGTTGTTATGAGTAGTGAGTGATATAGAGCAAAAGTGCTCCTTGATGTTTCAAGATAATGGGTAGAATGCTTTTGTACTTAAATCTAAATAAAGAATGAAGAAAGGGGGACAAATTATTTTTGCAACCTAGTGTTTGTCATTGGAAGTTTATTGGATCCTCGAAACACANTCCTCGAAACACAGTAGTTGGGAGGTTTAGGTTTCTTTAAATTAACCTGTCAATTTAGTTATTATTGTCCTATTTTGTTTTATTCTTCATTACAATCTGTATTTGAAACATATTTTGTTTCATAGTCCAAAATTCCAAATGAAGCCCTCCATTAATGTGTATGAAGAAAAGAGGAGAACATTTCACAACATACTTGATACTATGTTATCCAATCTTTAAAGCATGAGTAAACAATACATCTTTTCCTATTTTTCATGGAAGTATAGGTCGTCAAAACAAAAACTTTACATATCGAAAAAAATAAAACAAGATAAAATAAAAATAGTGGAATTAATAAGTTAATTTGAAGAAAACCCCTCCTCAAAAATATAATTAGTATTTCAAAGAGTCAAGTACCTCCCAAATACAATAGAGCTGCAAAATAATTAATTATTAATTGACTACTTGAGAGTTTATAGGATAATTATCAACTAAAATCAAGGATCACTTTTACTCCATAACACCCACTAGACATAACTTACCACTTGTTGGATTTCAAATGCAAAATAATAGAGAAGTGAAATAAAGAAATCAATACAAGTATTTAAAGTGGTTCGGCGATGTGTTTACGTACAAGGAGCGAAACGGATATTTATATTCAGTATAAATAATAGAGTTACATTATCAGTATTTATACTAACCCTAATTCAAGCCCATACAAGACTTTATGACCCGTACAAGAAAAATACACCTGTTCGGTGCGCTCCACTCCCCTCCCCTCACTCCACTCCGGCATCGGCCATTTTGATCCAGTAAACTTGTGTTCCAATCTATATGAGCAACATATACAACAATCTCCACCTTGGCGAATATTCACTCCTTAGGAGAAAACACTGAAGCAAACATAACCTGAGAAAACCACACCATCTGAGACTAATAGGTTGGGACACATCCTTTCTAACACCTAGAGATGTTAATCAAGTTCAAGCAATGCACGAACCTATCCATTGTGGTCAACATGTTTGCTACATTCTCTGAAGTATGTACCTTCTCTAGCAACAATTCTCCTGAAATAACCAACTCACTTATCTTGTGAAATCTCACATTTATGTGCTTGGTTCTTACATGATAAATTCGTTTCTTTACTAAGAAGATGACGCTTTGACTATCATAATACATTATCTCCATGTCAAGAATCTTCTTAGCCAGTCCTAAGTCTTTCGTGTCAACTTACTGCTCAATAAAGACTTCAATCTGTCTACCTCATTCATGTTCTTAGCAGCAATTAAAATGTCATCCACGTACAACATCAAGAAAAGATATGAATCATCCTCAAGAACTCTATAGTAAACATAACAATCATACTCACAGCGACTGTAGCCAATCTGAATCAATTGGGAGTCGAACTTCTTGTACCATTGCCGTGGAGACTTGTAGCCAATCTGAATCATGTGGGAGTCGAACTTCTTGTACAATTTTCATGGAGACTGTTTAAACCCATATAAAGATTTCTTCAGTTTACACACAGGATTCTCTATTCCTGGTTCCAATAACCCATCTGGTTGTTCTATGAAAATCTGCTCCTCCAAATCACCATGAAGGAAAGTGGTTTTCACATTTAGCTGCTCTGACTCTAAATCAAAACTGACCATCATTGCCAAGACAACCCCGATGGAAGTATGTGACAACTAGAGAGAAAATCTCATCATAATCTACTCCCTTCCTCTGTGAGTATCGCTTAACTAATATCCGAGCCTTATATCTTTCTCCTTCCTTTTCTGACACTGTTTATTACTTTCTGTACACCTACTTACACCTTATCGATTTCTTCCCCTCTGGAAGCTCCACCAGATCTCAAGTATCATTTTTATGCAATGACTTACTTTCCTCCATCATAGCCTCTATCCATTTCCTTTTCTCCTCACTACCAACGACATCCTGAAAAGTTATGAGATCGCTATTGCTAGGAATGAGTACATGAGAAACTGAATCCTTGAATCCATACTTCACCGGTGGTCTGATAGTGCGATGTGGTCTATCTGTGGCAATACTATAATATTGTTCNTACCTCATTCATGTTCTTAGCAGCAATTAAAATGTCATCCACGTACAACATCAAGAAAAGATATGAATCATCCTCAAGAACTCTATAGTAAACATAACAATCATACTCACAGCGACTGTAGCCAATCTGAATCATGTGCGAGTCGAACTTCTTGTACAATTTCCGTGGAGACTGTTTAAACCCATATAAAGATTTCTTCAGTTTACACACAGGATTCTCTATTCCTGGTTCCAATAACCCATCTGGTTGTTCAATGAAAATCTGCTCCTCCAAATCACCATGAAGGAAAGTGGTTTTCACATTTAGCTGCTCTGACTCTAAATCAAAACTGACCATCATTGCCAAGACAACCCCGATGGAAGTATGTGACAACTAGACAGAAAATCTCATCATAATCTACTCCCTTCCTCTGTGAGTATCGCTTAACTAATATCCGAGCCTTATATCTTTCCCCTTCCTTTTCTGACACTGTTTATTTCTTTCTGTACACCTACTTACACCTTATCGATTTCTTCCCCTCTGGAAGCTCCACCAGATCTCAAGTATCATTTTTATGCACTGACTTAATTTCCTCCATCATAGCCTCTATCCATTTACTTTTCTCCTCACTACCAACGACATCCTGAAAAGTTATGGGATCACTATTGCTAGGAATGAGTACATAAGAAACTGAATCCTTGAATCCATACTTCACCGGTGGTCTGATAGTGCGATGTGGTCTATCTGTGGCAATACTATAATATTGTTCCTCTTCTGAGTCAGAACTGTTCACTCCCTGATCATTAATCTCCATGTCAACATTGTCTAGCTCTACCTGCACTACTTGGCTCTTGCTGCTGTCCTCGACTGAACTGGGCATCTCTTCACTGTCAAGGCCCTACTCTCTGACTCATAAGAATAGCCATAAGTGTCTAAAGTGCCCAAGAAAATTAGGTTCTTTCTCAACTCTACTACGTGCCTAACATCCTCCAACGTCCTCACCACACCATAGAACATTTTTAATTTTATGGACCCCATTCCAATGACCTTATATGATGCATCATTATCCATCAGAACATATCCAAAATTACCCGACTTATATGAATCAAACCAATCCTAGAGAGAAAATATGTGATATGAGCAGGTTAAATCAAGTACCCAAGAGTCATGTAATCTGTTAGAATTACCTGGAGAGAATGATAGCATGTTTTCATCTCTAGAATCCAAGTTTCCTTTTGCAACACTAGCCAAGTTTGAGGACCCATCACCTTTCCTTTCATCACACTACTCCTTATTCGAATAGTGGTTTTTAAAGTGACCCATCTGATGACACTTGTAGCACTTAACGTTTTTCTTATTTTGATTTTTGGATTTCGATCTTGTATTCCATTTGTAAGAACCACCCCTATCCTTCTTTCTCCCACGATCCTGATAGCCCTTCACGATCAACCCTTCACCCTGTGAACTTTTGCCGGTTCGCAGTTTCCGCGGTTGTAGGCTGATAAGTGTATTTTAGACATTTATCTGTACCGTTAAACTAGAGCAATTATTGTTATTTTAAATAAATTTAGGCTTAATT